TCTCTCCTCTCCCACCAGCAGCTGGATGAAGAGTGAGGGAAGGGTCTGGTAAATATGTCCCCTTCGGTTTCTAAATGAACACAGTGAGTGATCGGTACCAGTCACTCTCTGTGTTCATTCATAACTGAAGCATAGTTAACTGTGTTTACTATGCTTCAGTTTATGAATGAACAGGAGCCTCTGTCTCCTGTTCACTCATCTGCAGTGCAGTTGAGGCTGTAGAAAGGAACTTAGGAATGTGTTTCCTCAGTCCCTTTCTCTGGCTCAAAAGGGAGACTTCAGGGATGTTTAGACCTCTGTTATCTTAGAAAAAAAAACAACAGCATTGTAAAAAAAAATGTTAAAACTTTTTTTAAAAAGTGAAAAAAATAAATGCATAAATTTAACAGATGTAAAAAATCAAACTAAAATTCCTTATCCGAATAAAAAGCCACGCCCAACATGTAACATAATTTAGCCACACCCATTGTTTGCCACACCATCTGTTTACCACACCATCTCCCTGGAAGGGACCGCAGTGCATTACTTTGCCCAGGGTCCCATGATGCTATTAAGATGGCACTGTAAGACTCAACTGAATGATGAGCAAACTCATGCCCACTATAGGTATCTTAAAACAAACTTACCCCCGGTTACTAAAAAAAAACCAAGGTAACCCTTTACTTGACAAGCCGACCTCCTGTGAGGTTTCTGTATCCCTATGCTCCTCTTCTGCAGAACCCAGATTTAAAATTAAGCATACCTGTTAAATGGCGACAAACTACTGTACATAAAATTGTTCATAATTGACATTTTAAAAGTCTTTACAGGTAACTAGTTTAGAGTTAAAGTGTTACTAAACCCTGGACCCTGCATTTACTATATCTGGTCTCCCACAATACACAGAACATGGAAATGTAATAATTCTAGTAAATATAAACTGCTAAATACCCTTTCTCATCTCAGAACAGTCTTGTGACTTCTATCAGTGTCCATCAGAGAACCAGTTAAAAGCTTGTAGGAGGAGTTTTCATTCTCCACTGATTGTCCTATGTGCATAACAACTGACACTTTGTCTGGACAGCACTGATTGGCCCTGCGCTGATCACATGCACTCTCCCAAGAAAATAAACACTCTAGCACTACACACCAAACTGAGCATGTGCAGCTTGCCCCCAAGGCTCTGTTCTATCAGCAGATGGATTGGGGACAGTAGAAGAAGGGGAGGATCAGAGAAGACAAGATGAAACATCCTTTTGACACAATGCAGAGGATTAACCCCTTAGGTTCCACAGTTAGTATAACAAGCATGTTTTACTGCATATACAGACTGATTTTACTGTTGTTGATTTTAGTAGTACTTTAAATGTGAACTCTGGCCCTACTATTATTGCTCTCACTCCAACATTCATGGCAATACCTCAAATGTGTGGTACAATCACCAATTACATATGCATGTTGGACCTAAATGCACATTTGCATTTGCGTGCGAGCATAAGGGGATGAGAGTACTTTAAAAAAACATTTTGAATTATTTTTTCTTACACTTTTTTTTTTTGTAAATGTAACTTTATTGCTATCACGAAGGGTGAACACCACCCCTTGTGATAGCTTTGGCAGTGACAGGTCCTCTTTATGGAGAGATCAGGGCAGCGGCGGACTGACAATTCATGGGGCCTCCGGGCAGTAAGGGATCATGGAGCCCCTGTGTCCTTGCCCAAACTCAAAAAAGCCTATGAAAAAGGTACCAGGGGCATCTCATGGGGCCCCCTACTGACCCCGGGCCCTCGGGCAGTGCCCGAGTTTCCAAATGGTCAGTCCGCCCCTGGATCAGGGGTTTGTCAGACCCCTGATCCCTCCTCTGTCCTCCAAGGAAAGCCAATCAAACAGAGTTCTGTTTGATTGACTGCTTCCCTGTCTGTACAGGCCATGGAAACACAGTACCGAAACCAGAAGTGACGCAATCCTTGTTGCTTATAGCTTTATTTGCACAGAGGAGATTAGGGAAGGGATGTTCCTCCATTTCTTTTGTGCGCAGCCAACCCAATCACTTAAAAGTGGTTGGGTAGCTTTATAGCTATTTGGATCACTTTTACAATAAAGCCGATCGCCTGCTCTAAAAAATGCTACCAGGACAATGGCTGCAGTTACATAACTGCTTCCTATATATGGCTTCCGGGCTGGAAGCGGTTAAAAAAAATCCTTTATAAAATAAAAAAAATCAGTTGCAGGTATAAAGTGCAACCATTCAAGGGTACCTGCATATACCTGCAACAGCCTCCCGATACCTTCCACTAAGGTCTAATCCTGACAGGTGTACTGTCTCATGCACATGGACAAGTAATTGTGATGGGCCTATGGGACTGTGGGAGGCTCAGTAGCAAACTCCAACATACAGTAGTTCAAGCGTATGAGGTATTAGCATGCATCTGGTAAGCTGACAATGTCTAACTCGAATACCTAAATAGCTTTTATATATTTTTAAGGGCCTATAAGGCTATTCTTTGGTATACTGTTTAAAAAAGTTCTTGCTTTCTTTTTGTTATTAAAAGCTGACCATTGTGAAAAAATTTAAATACATTTGAATTTTTTTTTTTTTTTTACAATTACAGTATTAAACAGATGACACGGTAAGCTGAAGACTTTTTTATATGCAGTGAAGCCTATAGGTCATAACTTATATAATGATCACGTCTGCCATTTTGATCAGAAAGGACACAAGTCGTCAACTGGGATTAAGATGTACCAAACACAAAAGTATCATCTGCTGGCCCTTAAAGTTGGGGTGTTTAAAAATGTATCCCTAGCATAGGCCAGCATGCTAGGGATAATTTATATACAGATTGTGGACAGAAAGGGGTTAAAAAAAAGAAACGTAAACTGCCTATCCTTAACTATTTATTGTACTTTTTTTCTTTAGGAACTGTTTCTTGGCCAAAGATTGCATTTCTCATGTCCTTGCCTATCAAACCTTGCCTGTAAGAAGTTTTCCGATGGCAGATACCAGTGCTTGCCAAGCTAAAAAAGCAAGGATTATTTTTATTAGAAGATTTCAACAAAAGCTATTGGGAAGGATTAATTTATACTCTCAGATTGTATTCTTGAAACTTTTTTTGTAAGCTAAATTCCAAAAATTAGCAAATATGAGCTCTTGTTGCCCTTACTGTAGCTTTCAATCAGAATTTCTGTTCAAATGACCCTAAAATTGAAAAACTACTCAAATGGCACCACACCCATTAGAGAACAAAGATACTAAACACAAAATATTGGGAGTTTTTGTTTGGAGTTTTTGGCCTTTGGATTCCAGCACCAGCTACATGCATGGTATGTGTACATAGAAAACACCTCTGGGTTCCTGAAGAAGTTTAACTGTGAAACACATTAAACTGAACCACACTCACAATATGGTTTGTGTACAGAATGGTTGTGCTATACTAAACTAAGGAAGCCCTAGAACTGTGATAGTTGGTGCACAGAGGCAAAAACATATACAGTACTCTGATGTATAGATGTTAAATGTTGCAGCTGGCTGGTAGTCTACTTTTATGCTCGTTTAATATTTTAATACTTTGTATTGAGGTGATTGTAGCCGTATTAGTGTACTTGGGAAAGAAATACTCAATTGTTTCTGAATACTTTATATGAAATAAATATTTTGAGGAGTTTTTAAACTATATTGTTTAAGCCCGTTGCAGCTCACATCCCAGACTTGGTCCAGGCTGGGGAAACATCATGACCATATGGTTGGGATCCACCCAGAAGCCTGGACTGGCACTTGACTCAGCCTCTCAGTGAGCACCTGAGAGCCTGAGTCAGCTGCTCCCATCCCCTCCACAGCCCAGCACTCCAGTGAGCGCTGGGGGGGCAGAACAGACAGTGGTGACTGACAATCTGCTCAGAGCTGTGGGGAGAACTGAACAATCAGTGATATTTGATTGTTCAGTTCTCAGCCTTAGAGCTGGTGGGAGACAAGATCGATGCTGCATCCACCGTGGTAAATATGATTTTTAAAAAAAACAATACTTCTCTTTTCAGGGTAGGTACCTTGAAAATCCCAATATTTTGTGCTTAGTATCATTTTTTCCATTGTTCACAGGGAACAAGAAAGGGAGAATCTGATTTGTTACTTTAGATAACAAAGTTCTAAAGCTAATTTAACCATAAAGCCTTTTGTCTCCAAAATTTAAAGAATTATCACCAGAAGGTAAAATCTTTGTTGAACCCCTCAAGGAACACAAGGGATACAGTACATAAAGCACATAGTTCTGTTCAGACCCATGCAGTGGTTTGTTAATAAAAAGACATTTCTGTTCTGTTTGCTGGCTGTAGCTCCACCCCAGGCTGTAGCCCAATTTATACACATTTTTATGGAGGAGTTGCAGCCAGTACTCAAGCCACCAACCCCCTCTTCATTCTAACAAATGCTGCCATCTAATCTTCCAGCCCTGTGCGCTTTCTGCTTTAGCCACTGCCATGTTTCATATACTGAAAGGAAAGACTGATGCAAGTGTATATAGTACAGCCATTGAGGCTCTATTGGGCCATTGTTGTACACCTATTTCTATCTTCTATTCTTAAAACAATAAAAAATGTTGAAACAGGAAAGACTGAGCTTGGTCCTGCCCGCCAGCCACCAGCTTTCCTCAGGAGTCTAGAATTAAAGACTAGCAGGCGGGTCCAGGCTACAACAACGCACACCAGTTACTACTCTAGTCTCTTTCTCCAAAAAATCAGGCCAGTGGGTCTGAGCTCAGCTGTCTGAGAGAGACTAGATTAGTAGCTGGTATATGTTGTGAAGGCACTATTTTCTCAACACAGTCCACCAGCTACTACACTAGTCTCTTTCCAGAGAATAGCTGTCGGCTGGTGGCTGGGTCTGAGCACAGTCTTTCCTTTCAATACAGGGATATCTTTTCAGTGCATGGAAGATGGCAGAAGGGTATGCATGGAAGAAGCAGGAGAGGCACTGGGCTGGAAGATTATATATCAGAGCTGCAGGTGCTAGAATGTTCTGTCCTGACCAGGGGCGGACTGACCATTTGGAAACTCGGGCACTGCCCGAGGGCCCGGGGTCAGTAGGGGGCCCCATGAGATGCCCCTGGTACCTTTTTCATAGGCTTTTTTGAGTTTGGGCAAGGACACAGGGGCCCCATGATCCCCTATTTGCCCGGGGGCCCCATGAGTTGTCAGTCTGCCCCTGGTCCTGACAGCTTTCAAAGGAGGCAGCAGTGGGGTTTGTGTGGGCTCTCCTCTTTGTGCCTGTTAGTCAGAACCAAATATATGTTTATCTCCTTGTGAGCAGTGTGGTCGGACAGCGGTTGGGGATGGAAACATGACATGAACCATGCTAGCTCAACAACCACTGGGGGATTCAATAATGATTTTTCATTTCTGGTGATACATTTTCTTTATGCTTTTGAATTAGCCAAAATGGTCATCAATCCACAATAAACTGCTTAGAGAAATAGTGTATAATGCTTGTAGTGATAGAAACTTGAGAAGCTGCAAACCAAACACTGCTCTGTGAAATCATCCATGTTTATTTAAATATTTATGATGGATTATGTTAAAAAAAAAGGAATAAGAAAGCATAAACTACATGGACTGTCTTTAGTCATCTCTCACAATTAGCCACAAAATTAGCAGCCAATCTGAAAATACAAAGTATTCTACGTCTGATAGAAAACTAACTTAGCTCTCAGAGGGGGAAGAGTAGCTTAGCTTATCTGCTAGTGAAATATGGGGGTTGATTTACTAGCGGCACTTTGCAAGTGCAGTTGCTTCAGACTTAGTAAATGTGGTAAAGCTCTGCTGACTTCCATCATACAATCATGTGAAAGCGAAAATGCTGTTTTTTTTATTTTCCTTGCTTGTGATTCAGTATTCATTGGAAAGTGAAGCTTTGCCTCATTTACTAAGCTCTGGGTCAACTGCATTTGCAAATTGCATAGTCTTTCTGCTTTAAGTCAATCAACGTCAAAGTGTATTGGTTCCTCAAACCAAGATTTTTATGTATTTATTATTTATATAGATATTTATTTAGCACTGCCAATTTGCGCAGTTATTTCTGCACATTCACATCACTCCCTGCCCTCAAATAGCATACAATCGAGGATCCCTAATTCGCATACACATACTAGGGCCAATTTAGACAAGATCCAATTAAAGCGAAACTTCACCCTAAAAGGGAAGCTCCGCTTTATGCCCCACCACCACCACCACTACTTTTTTAAAAAATGTTTTGGGCAGGTCGGTACCTAGTTTTGTCACTGCCATTGGAATCGCCTAGTGTACTGAGTCACGTCACAGGTCCCAGAAGGCTGCGGGCACATTCACACAGCGCAGCGTGGGTCGTACATGCTCAGTCAGGAGCTGGCTGTGAAGCAACAAGGAGTCACGCCTGGCTTACAACAGTAAACATGCTAGTGCCAGGGACCCAAAGACCGGTTAAGAACTGGCCCAGGTGAGGACAGTGCTGGATCCCAGAACAGTTAAGTATCATTTTATTAACAGTCAGCAGCTGACTTTTAATTTTTTCAAACAGACTGAAGAACCTCTGTAACCTACCAGTATGTGTTTTGGAGTGTAGGTGGAAACCATAATACCCAGCAGAGGCCCACACAAACAGAACATGCAAGTTCCATGCAGAGTTTCCTGCCAGGGATTTGAATTAGATTGTAAGCTCCAAGGAGCAGGGCCCTCCTAACCCTCTTGTATTGAACTGTATTGTTGCTGTATTGTCTCCCTTTATATTGTAAAGCGCTGAGCAAACTGTTGGCGCTATATAAATCCTGTATAATAATAATAATAGATGTTCCAAACTGCTAATAAATTTTAGGCATGATGTAGCAGTAATTCATTTTTTTGCACCAAACACCTGCACAGTTTGCAGCTGCGCCAGGGGGTTGTCTACTTTCTTGTTGCAAATGTAACAAGAAATAACAGGATATTCCACTGTAAAAAAATATATATTTTTCGATCGGAGAGGTTAAAACCTCCTTCAGTGTTACCTATAATGCTGCCACCTCCTCTTCACTTCCTCTTCTGTAGGGGTCCCTCAAGGTTCTGTCCTTGGACCCCTTTTCTTCTCCATCTATACCTCCTCCCTTGGTCACTTGATAAACTCCCATGGCTTCAAGTACCATCTCTATGCTGATGACACGCAAATCTATCTGTCTACCCCTCACCTCACCCCTTCAGTCTCCACTCGCATCACTAACCTACTAAGTGACATATCGGCATGGATGTCACTCCACTTCCTCAAACTCAACCTCTCCAAAACTGAGCTCTTAGTATTCCCCCCGCCCATGCCACCTCCACTGACCTCACTAAAATATCGGTAACACAATCATCAGTCCATCCCCCCATGCCAGGGTACTAGGTGTAATCCTAGACTTCCATCTGTCCTTTCAGCCCCAAATCCAATCGCTGACAAAATCATGTAGACTTCACCTCCGCAACATCTCCAAGATACGACCGTTCCTAACCCCAGACACCACTAAGCTACTTATTCACTCCTTTGTCATATCATGCCTTGACTATTGTAACTCCCTCCTCATTGGCCTACCTCATCGCAGGCTATCCCCACTCCAGTCTATCATGAATGCTGCCGCCAGGCTCATCCACCTTACTAACCGTTCGGTATCTGCCACCCCTCTCTGCCAATCCCCTCCACTGGCTCCCTGTTGCCCAATGGATAAAATTCAAAACACTAACAACGACATATAAAGCCATCCACAACACTCCCCAATTTACATATCGATCTTATCTCTAAATATCACCCAAACCGTACGCTCCGCTCCTCACAAGATCTCCTACTCTCTAGCTCCCTTATCTCCTTCTCCCATGCTCGTCTCCAAGACTTCTCCAGGGCGTCACCCATCCTCTGGAACTCCCTACCCCATTCTATCAGACTATTACCTACTCTACTTACCTTTAGGCAATCATTGAAAACCTATCTCTTCAGGGAAGCCTATCCCACCCTCTGCTAATACTGGTATTTTCTACGCTTCCAACCACTCCTTCCCCCACAGTTTTACATATTGTACCACTCACCCCTCCCTCCTAGACTGTAAGCTCCCAGGATCAGGGCCCTCAACGCCCTCTTGTATTGAACTGTATTGTTACTGCATTGTCTCCCACTATAATGTAAAGCACTGAGCAAACCGATGGCGCTATATAAATCCTGTATAATATTAATAAAACCCTAGACAGGTCTTTCTTGATGTCTGTGTCCCCACTGGGGAGAATCAGCTTCCCTATTTGTCTTGGTGTCCATTTTCACCAGAACAGAAGGCAATGGTAAACACAAATTTTTACAGCTGTGCATTCAACAGGAGGTGAAGGGATATCTTTTAATAGGAACATACTGTCTGTGGGGATTTCCTCTTACTATTGTGTTTTATGCAAGCAGTGGGCCTGTGTGCAGGATCATAAGTTGGGCCTTCCCGTGCAGGAGAAAGAGAGTGTGGCGTGTGCCGTGGCAAGACATGGGTGTGGTTTTTATTGTGCCAAATATTGGCCGTGGCCAAAAGAGAAGCAGAGAGCAGTAGTAAGTGACCCAGAGTTCAGAGATCAGCAGTAAGTGATGCAGAGTTCAGAGATCAGTTGAAGGTTATGCAGACTTCAAAGATCAGTAGTAGGTGATGCAAAGTTCAGAGATAAGTAGTAAGTGACACAGAGGTCAGAGATCAGTTGAAAGTGACATAGAGTTAAGAGATCAGTAGTAGGTGATAATATGAAATATAATATGAAAGACATTTAATAGACAATATGACTTCAAACTGACTGAACTACTTTTCAAATCACATTAAATATACATACTGTATATCCCTTACTAATATATTAAAGAGTTTGAATAATTATTATTATTATACAGGATTTATATAGTGCCAACAGTTTTCTCAGCACTTTAAATAGTACCCCAGACTGATTCCAAGATTAAATCAAATTAAACACAGCGATAATTTCATTTAGTCATTTTTGCAGTGTCTGGTGAGGATCCAGGTGGATTATCCTTCACGTTTTGTAAACTGTACATGAAATAGATGCAGTATTGTGTCTCTAAACATTTCCTGATATATATATATATATATAAATGTCTGTTAACAATCCACAAGTCACCTGGCTTTAGTTTATGAGATCCTTCCAAACTGTTAGGATCTGGAATTTGGGGAGAAACACATATATGAGTTTGTAATAAACCTTAGAAGATCGGCAACATTCTCTGAGATCTTCAGCTGCTAAGAAAAATATAAGCAAGTGAGGAACACACTTCCAAACTAAATCTCATAGGGAGAGAGTCCATATATCTAAAAAATATGAAGACATTCAAGGCATAGTTTTCTAGTTTCTGCCTGTGAGGGACCGCCGAGCGGCACCACTAGCACTCCACTGGTCAGGCGTGCCCAGAGCGCGGAGTCTAAGCCCCAGGGTACTTGTTCACCAGGGCCCCTGATGGTGGGGATGGACTTGTAGTACCCCGAGACCAGGTCGCCACTACTGAGCACACCTGTCAGTGGTAGGGGTGTTCGCCAGGGGCTCCAACCAGGGAGAGCCAGATGTGACGAGGTCGGGTGACCCCGATGGGATGGATGGATGGATGGCTGAGCAAGTGCGAAGTCAGACAGGCCGAGTCGGTAACGTAAAGGACGGTAAGGTACAAGGGAGCAGGCAGAGAATCGTCGGGTCACACGCCAGGTCAGCAACAGGAGGTCAGATCTAATGAGGGGCATCCAGGGAGAGAGGTCAGGCAAGCAAGGGTCTGGGCAGGAGAAATCAGCAGGTCAAGAACAATCCGGGTCAATAAACTTACAAGGCACAGGTACAGAATCACAGGAAGCAGGTAAGACCAGAAGGCAACGAAATGAC